TTTTTTTTTTTTTTTAGATAAGATAGTCAAATTTTATTAGAACACTTTTTATTTTTAACATTCAGCATTTATCGTGGAAACATTAAAATTGTATAATACATATATTCTTTTCTGTATTGAATGCATATTCTTTTTTTTTTTTTTTTAAATCGAATACATTCAAATTCATTCTGAATTCATTCATTTGTCTAATTTTGAACACGATTTGAATCTGCATTCGAATACAGTATTTTGAGCGAGGGTGAATGTATTTTTACCTGCAAGCCGAAAGTAATCGTTGCATCTTGGGCGACGCGAGCAACCGTGCCTCGGAAGGGCACCCTAATCGCGCCCTTTTCACTCGTGGCGCCGTTGGTCCCGTGGCAACGAGTTCCAGCAGTTCCGGCACCGTAGAACTCGGTAAAGGCCTCTCGGGCATCAGAGGTACCGCGCATCCTAACACTATGGGGCCCCTGGTTGCACCTTCTAGCTGCATCAGACCGCTGTAATCTCGTGGCAGTGGTATTGGCAGCGGTCCGGCAACCAGTCGTACCTGCCGACACGAATTTTCAAACTCGGTCGTCGTTACATTTGATTGTTGAAAACTCGGGACGAAGATATTTGTACATCGTTCGTGTTAATAGCTGCCTGTTTTCTTTTTTTTTTTTCTTTTTATTTCGATTATTTGTCAGTGACGCAGTTTCTGATACAATAGAGCCTCCTCTGTATAAATTTCTTGGATAACAGAACGTTGAAATTGTCAGATGAAAATTATTCAAATTATCAATGTTTATTTTGACACTGTAATTAAATACTCTTTTTCTTTATATGTTGCAAGAAATTCCTAATCTATAATCTCTGGTAGATGAGCCTTGTGAGCACGATAATAAAATTTTTTTAAAGATTTTCGAAGTTTTTATTTGCATGTGAAATAGTTCAGTAAAAAATGGCAACTCTGTTACATTTAAACAATGAAATACAATAATAGAAAATTCGGATATTAAAGTATTTGAATAATTGGATAGCAGGCTCTGCTGTGTCTTGAAAAATTTATTCAACGAAGAAATGAAATTTTCTGCTGTCCAAATGATAACGGCGTAATCCATCAAAATTAACAAGATAATAATAAGCGGAACGTTATTCCGACACTCGGTGGCGACATCGAATATTTGGCGAAGCTTACCCTAAGAGGAAGATCCCTTCTAGCAAGTTGGTGAACCCTGTAGAGCACCGCGTCACTTCCGGTGTCGAGGCTTCCGCTCTGACACGTCGCGTAGAACTCTCCCCTGGCGGAAAGCGGGGCGAACAGCTCGTGACCGTGAGAATCCAGGCATTGCGCGTACTGGTCTCGTTCCGACGACCTTGAACTCTTACCCTCCGGCGCGCCGCTAACGACACCGGAAATACCGCTGGAAACCGGTGTCCTCCGCGTGTCTTGGAAAACCGCGGCCAGCCGCAGAACCTCCCCGGCTCGTACCGTCGTTTTTGTGTAGTGAGCCCTCAGGTTACCGTTCTCTGAAACGGAAATTATCGTTCTACTCTGAATCGTTATTACGTTCAAGCCTGTGATAATGACGATCTATTTAGAGTTCAGTTGACGACGACCGGCCAAACTTATCATTAGACGATGTACGTAGCTTACGCGACGGTTTATTTAGAATCTGTTCCCAATCTAGAGAGAGGAATTTCACGAGAAGAAAGTCGTGGTTGAAAGAGTGAAGAATTCAGTTTGATTCAGTTTCATTCTTTTCCTTTTTCTGGTGAACTTAAGTCGTGGAGGTACAGTATACTCTTCGGTGAGAACATCGCGAAGTTTGCTAATGAAAAATGGCTGTTATTTAACAATACTATACATATTATGTTATATACAGAGGGTGAAAATAAATCGAAAGTGAAGAATAATATCTTTCCATTTGAGACTACGTTCTCGAGAAAATTAAGTTGGATTTATTTGAAGTATAATTGGAGATTTTTATTATTATACGTCTGAAAATTAAATGAAGTTTAAGTGGTGGTCATTGATAATAATACAGAGACGTTTGTTACCTAAATAACGAAAGTAAATGAATTTTACTATTGTTTGTTGTCATTGATGAAATATTAATGAATTATTAATTGTCATAAAATGTACGATGCAAAATCCAAATTTAAATCTAAATTTATTGAAGGTTTCACACATACATATATAAGAAAATGTCTGTGTGCTTTTCTGCGGCAGTATACATCGTACCATCCCGTATCTTAAATTTGATAAAGAAACAAAAAAATTACAAGTATTAAACATTATTTCCACTAGATCGTTACATTAGGATCATTCTGAATTTTCAATGTTTCACATGTCTCTAAATAAAATTGTGGAAATGAAATAAAATTTAATTGCAAGTTGTAAAATTATTACAGTATTAGATGCATAAATATTAATAATCTATATGTTACTATACGCGATATCTTATTATTTGCTACTATTATACATTCGTGGATATTTATATACAATTAATTACTTATAATTTGGATATTTAAAAATATATTACATACTTCTTATTATAAAAAAAATGGAAAACATAATAAAGTAAGTAGTAAAGAATGCCACATTTTTATAAATAAAAAAAGGAAACACACAGTATAGTATTATGTATAATGTAACTGTCTATATTGGTAGTTAGTAAAATTTATTATTAACTTGCATTCAGATTTCAAAAACGTACAGGATATTAAAAATTGATGAGTGATGCTAATTCAATAATTAGGGATGATTATTAGTAGCAC